GCGACGCTGTCCTCGACCAGGTCGGAGTACGTGGCGGCCGTCGAAGCCGGCAAGGAGGGACGCCGACTTCGCTTCCTCCTGGCAGAGTTCCGGCAGCTGGATGCTGGAAGGCCGATGGTCCTGAGGGTGGACAATAAGTCGGCCATCACAGTCGCCGAGGTATGGGGTTGACGGGCAACCTCAAGCACATGGAGCGGCGACAGGCCTGGCTGCAGCACATGTTGAAAAGGGGGAAGTTTTCGCTGCATTACACCCCGACGGTTGAGCAGCCGGCCGACTCCTTGACGAAGGCACTGCACTATCCGGCCTTCAACCGGTGCTCTGTTGCAATCGGCCAAGTGCGTCTGGCCGACGTGGGCGACGGCGACAACGACGTGCAGCAGTAGGTGCCATGCCCTCTTGCATGGCTGGTGCGGTGGACGACGTGCTGTGTGTTGGGTGCACGTCGACGAGCTTTTCTCCGAGAAGTACTGCCGTGTGGGCTGGGGGCCCAAGCGTGAACGCGGCAGGGGAGTGTCAACGGGAGTTGTGTGTTGGCCCCGTCCTCGCTTGGGCGGAGCCGACTTCGTGGTCGGGTGTAGGGTGCAGCCGACCTGCAGCAGTGGGCGAGCTGGTCGACGAGGAAGTCGACCTGCACGGGTGCCACTGCATGGTTCAGGCCGACTTCAGGATGGCGACGACTTTATGGAGGTCGACCTAGGAAGTCGACCTGCAGAGGGCGTCGACTTGGTGACGCCAACTTTCATTGGGCAGCCGACTTGTGTGGTCGGCTGACAGGACTGCTGGTCGACCTGGTGGTTGGTCGACCAGGAATGCTGGTCGACTTGGTGGTTGGTCGACCAGGCGTGATGTCGACCTGGTGGTCGACCGAACATGGTGGTCGACGAAGGAGGGGCCGACGTCGACCTCGACAGAGGGATTCGAGACGCCGAGCTGCTGGGCGTCAAGTAGCAAGGCGTCAACTTGGTGACGCCGACTTCGGGGGTCGGCTGACGTCAACCTGGATCTGGTCGACCTGGTGAGGTCGACTAGAGGTGTCCGTCAATTTGAGTGGTCGACAGGCACGAAGAGGAGCAGCCGGTCAACGTGGTTGCCTGGTCGACCATGTTACCTGGGTGACGAGGTTCGGTGGAGGCATGCGACGGTCGCCCCGATGTTTTTGGCGAGGACGACCTCGGTGGTGGTATCCAGAGGTCGACGTGGCTGATCAGAAGCAATCGTCAGCACGAAGTTGACTTGGTGTGTGCGCTGTGCAGGTGACGAGGCACTGCGCGTGAATCATCTGCAAGCACCTACAAAGAGGATGCGCTGCTATCCTGCGGGAGCAACGTTGGCACGCCGTCAACCTGCGACGTTGGCACGCCGTCGACTTGCAGCGTTGGCAAGCCGCAACTCTGCACTGCTGGGAGCGCGGTCGACCAAGTCGTGCTGGCACGCGGTCGACTGTGCTGCGCTGGCAGTCGACCTGCTTGCATCCTAGCTCTGATATAGTCTAGCCTTGCCAACTTGATCGTACCATTGTTGTCAACTTTTGCTAGTGAAACTCTTGCCAACTTTCCCTGTGAACCAGCAAGTAGTGCAAGCACGAGTAAACGACTAAGTGGATGAACGCAGAGATCACACGAGCACCCGTGCCTAGCCTGTAGTCTAGCTCCCGTTGTAGTAGTTATCTCCGCAGATAGGGGCTGGTCTTGTACAGGCACCCAAGGACCCTTGGAGGTGACCCCGAGGAGAGGTATTAAGAGTAAGCGCGTTACTTACCCATATGGTTGGTACCAAGAGTAAGCGCATTATTTACCCTTATTGTTCTTTCCAAGAACAAGCGCATTAATTACTATTTTGTTCGTACAAAGAGTATTCGCATTACTTACCCATAATGTTGATACCAATTGTAAATGCGTTACTTACCCATATGATTGGTACCAAGAGTAAGCGCGTTACTTACCAGTACGGTTCGTACCAGGAATATGCGCATTACTTACTCATATTGTTAGTACCAAGAATAAGCGTCTTACTTACCCATATGGTTAGTACCAAGAATACGCCCGTTACTTACCCATATGCTTGGTACCATGAGTAAGTGCGTTATGTACCCATATTGCTGGTATGAAGAGAAGGCGCGTTTCTTACCCATATGGTTGGTACCAAGAGTAAGCGCATTATGTACCCATATGGTTGGTACCTAAAGTAGCAGCATTACTTACCCATATTAATGGTACCAAGAATAAGAGAGTTACTTACGCATACTGTTAGTACCAAGAGTAAGCGTGTTTCTTAACCATATGGTTGGTACCAAGAGATCGTATTTGCGTTACTTACCCATATGAAAGTTACTAAGAGTAGGGCGTTATTTACCCATATGGTTGGTACCAAGAGTAAGCACGTTACTTACCCATATGGTTGGTACCAAGAGTAAGCGCATTACTTACCCATATGGTTGGTACCAAGAATAAGCGCGTTAATTATCCATATTATTGGAACCTATAGTAAGCGCGTTATTTACCCATATGGTAAGTAATAAGTGTAAGCGCGTTACTTACCCAAACCGTTGGTACCAAGAGTACGCGCGTTACTATTCATATGGCTGGTACCAAGAGTAAGTGCGTTACTTACCCATATGGTTGGTACCAAGAATATCTGTGCTACATACCCATATGGTTGGTACCAAGAATAGGTAACCACGTTATTTACCAATATTGTTAGTATCAGAAGTAACCATATTTCTAACCCAGATAAATGTTACTAAGTGTAAGCGCGTTACTTACCGATATTGTTGGTACCAAGAATAAGCGCGTTACTTACCCATATGGTTAGTACCATATGGTTGATACAAAGGGTAAGCATGTTACTTACCCATGTGGTTGGTACCAAGAGTAAGCGCGTTATTTACCCATATTGTTGGTACCAAGAGTAACCGAGTTCAGTACCCATATAGTTACTAATATGCATAAGCGCGTTACTTACCCATATCATTGTTACCAAGAATGAGCACGTTACTACCCGTATGGTTCGTACCAAGAGTAAGTGCGTTATTTACCCATATGGTTGGTACCAAGAGTGAACTCGTACTTACCCATATTGTTGGTACCAAGAGTAAGCGCGTTACTTACCCATATGGTTGGTACCAAGAGTAAGCGCGTTACTTACCCATATGGTTGGTACCAAGAGTAAGCGAGTTAATTATCCATACTGTTGGTACCAAGAGTAAGCGCGTTATTTACCCATATTGTTGGTACCAAGAGTAAGCGCGTTACTTACCCATATTGTTCTTTCCAAGAACAAGCGCGTTAGTTACCTATTTTGTTCGTACCAAGAGTAAGCGCGTTACAAACCCATATGGTTGTGTCAAATGTGGTAGCCTGTAATGAGGTTTGTCTTAGGGGGTACAAAAGTTAGGGTTTGTTATATGTACCCCAAACCAACATCAATGCATCATTCATTCCTCAGTTTGACATGGTATCACCTAGGTTCGGATCCTGTGGGATCCCGCTCCTCCCGACCTCGTTCGTATCGCCCGAGCCTGTCTCCCTCTCTCGTACTAGTTGCGCACGTCTTGCCCGAGCCTAGCGCCGGCCCGCTCTAGTCGCGTTCCTTCGTTACCGCGTGTTACGCAGATCCACTGCTTTCGTAGCGTAGCGACCTTCCCCCCCCCCCCCCCCCCCCCCCCCCCCTGCTGCCCGTCACGTTTTCCCCCCCGCTGCCCGTCGAGTTGCGTTTTTTCCCCCCGCTGCCCGTCGAGTCGCGTTTTCCTCCCCGCTGCCCGTCGAATCGCGCCTTCCCCTGCCCCCGTCGCGTCGCGCTCTCCCCGCCCGTCGTCCCGTCGCCCGTCCCCCCCCCTACGCGCGCCGCCGCTGCGCCTCCTCCCGTCGCCCGTCGCCGCAGCCGCAGCCTGCGCCCGCCGCCGCTGCCCCCCCCCCCCCCCCCCCGCTGCGTTATGTACCCATATTGCTGGTATGAAGAGAAGGCGCGTTTCTTACCCATATGGTTGGTACCAAGAGTAAGCGCATTATGTACCCATATGGTTGGTACCTAAAGTAGCAGCATTACTTACCCATATTAATGGTACCTGTCAAACATTGCATGTTTATATTGTCTAGGCTGTAGTGGGTTACACCTTAGGGGGTACACAAAGTTAGGGTTTCCTACTTGTACCAAACTCTGTTCTAGTTCATCCATTCCTGCTCAGTTATTTCTGACATGGTTTCAGAGCAGGTCCTTCGCTAGGACTGTTCTTAGGGCCCACCGACTTACCTACCTGCTTACCTTCGCTTGTTTCCGGCCCCGCTGGCCCCGTCGATCTAGCAAGATCTAGCGGCCCTGCGGCCCCGTCGAAATTTTTTTTTAGCGGCCTCTCACGGCCCCCGTCGCGTCGCCCCTTAGCGCCCCGATCGGCCCCGTCACGCCGCCCGCGAACCGCACAGCGCGCCGCGCTCACAGCCCGCGAACCGCCCGCGCACAGCCCGCGACCCGCCTGCGCAGCCCGCGACCAGCCCGCGCAGCCCGCGCACAGCCCGCGAACTGCCCGCGAGCAGCCCGCGACCTGCCCGCGAACCCCCGCGAGCCGCCCGCGACCCGCTTACGCAGCCCGCGAGCAGCCCGCGCAGCCCGCGCTGAGCCTGCGCGGCTCGTGCGCTGACCGCCGCCGGCCCGCACGCTGCCCGCACTGCTCCCGGCCCGCCGCTGCTGAGCCCGCAGCCGCCCGCGCACCGCCGCTGCTGAGCCCGCCGCCGCCCGCGCACCGCCGCTGCTGAGCTCGCCGCCGCCCGCGCACCGCCGCTGCTGCGCCCGCTGCCGCCCGCGTATCACCGCTGCTGAGCCCGCCCCTGCTGCGCCGGCTCTCGCTGCCGCCTGCTGCGCCTGTGCACCACTGCAGATCCTACTACTACACTTCCTGCTACTGCTGCTTGTGCGCCACTACAGTCTGTAGGCCCCACCGGCCCTGCTGACCCTGCGCACGCCTGTTCAGTGACTTTACTGCTTCTACTACTGCCGCTGTCGCTATGGCTAGTCCTCCTGTTCTAGCTTTCGACGCCGAGGGCCGTCCGGTCAAATTCGAAACCTGGCTAGATGATCTGCACCTTTTCCTACAGCTCACTGCCAAGGAAGATATTACACTGTACGACCACGCTCTCGGCCATGCGACCGCCCCACTCGCTACTGCCCCCCCAACTGAGCGCTCACAGTGGCAGACCCGTGACGCGCACGCTCGCTTTGCTATTCGCAACTCCCTGCCGCTAGATGAGCGCGAGCACTTCGGCCAGTGCAAGACTGCTAAGGACCTCTACACAGCTGTAGTGGCCCGCTACTCCTCACCCGCTTCTGCCACACTAGGCCGCCTCACTCTCCCCTACCTGTTCCCCGACCTAGCCTCTTTTCACACTGTCGCAGACCTCATCACCCACCTTAAGACTAGTGAGGCTCGCTTTCGCGCTGCCATGCCTGATGAGTTCCTCGCTAGCAACCCCCCCCCGCTCTGGATCACTCTCTACCACGTTGTCACCCGCCTCCCTGACTCTCTGCGCCCTGTCAGGGACCAGTTCCTCTCTCGCTCCCCCACTGAACTCACCATAGCCCTCCTCGAGAAGGAACTGCTTGCAGCCGAGGCTAGTATCGTCGCTGTAGGCACCTCTCGTGGCGACCCCCGCGGCCCCTTCTTCGAGGGGTGCTCCCCTTCCCCCCTCCTCCCCTCTGTCGCCTCTGCTGCTGCTGTCGACCTCCTTGGTGCTGAGAAGGTCGGGGCTGCGTCTGCTTCAGGCGGACGACGCAGGGGCAGGAGTGGCAGGAGTGGGGGTGGTGGCGGAGGAGGCGGGGGTGGAGGTGGTGGCGGTGGAGGTGCGACTGGAGAGGCTAGTGGCGGCGGTGGTGGAGGTGACAGCGGTGTTGGGAGTGGTGACAGGGGCGGAGGTGGCAGCGGAGGCGGAGGTGGTCGTGGCAGCGGCAGGGGTGGAGGTGGCCGGGGCGGAGGCGGAGGGGGTGGTGGTCGTGGAGGCCCGGCGGGCGGTCAGAGTCAGCAGCCTGCCCCGACCCTTCAGGCCGCCCGTGAGTGGTATGCGCGGCGCAGCGTCACCTGCCAGTACGTTATTCGTACAGGTGACCGCACTGGCCAGACGTGTGGGGGGCCGCACCAGACGGAGCGCTGCTTCGCCCGCCTCAACGATGCGTGGCGCACTCAGTTTCCTGGTGGGGGTGAGCTGCCGCGCTGGGCTGATCTGCTCAGGAAGGGTGTTGATATTTGGGCACTTGACTTTGATGCTATTCTCACTGCCATGTATGCGATGTCTATTAGTGGAGAGGGTGCTCAGTACTTGCGTGTTCCGCCCGACCCGGGCATTCAGGCCAGCCCTGCTGCTGCACTAGGTGCTAGTGTGTCTGCTTCCACAGGTACTACTGCAGCTGCTGCTCTAGGTGCTTCTGCGTCTGTGCCCCCTGGTACTGAGTCGACTGCAGCACTGCACACCTTCACACTTGACTCAGGTGCTTCTCGCTCTTTCTTTCGTGACCGCACTGTCCTTGAGCCTCTAGCTCGGCCGGTTGCTGTCTCTCTTGCTGACCCCTCTGGGGGTCCGGTCCTTGCGACCTCCTCCACCACCCTTCCGTGTCCAGCGGTTCCGTCCGGCAAGCTCTCAGGTCTCTACCTCCCCTCGTTCTCCACGAACTTGGTGGCAGGTAGTGCGCTCCAGGACTCGGGTGTTCACCAGTTCACCCCTGCCTACGAGCGTGTGACTCACTGCACGTGTGCTCGGACGGGCCGCCACCTGGCTACTTTCACTCGAGAGCCGGGGTCTGACCTGTACACACTGACCACTGAGTCCCCTCAGGTAGCTGCGTCTGCGTCAGCGTCAGGTCAGCTGTCCGCCCCCTGCTCGTGTCGCTCTCTGGCGAACGACACCGTCCTCTGGCACCACCGCCTTGGTCACCCGTCTGTGCAGCGCCTGCGGGCCATGCACAAACGGGACCTTGTTGCTGGTCTTCCCAGGGTGCTCCCTCCCCTTCCTGACTCCCCTGCTCCTGACTGCATTCCCTGTGTCGAGGGGCGGCAGCGCGCCGCTCCTCACTCCTCCTCCTTTCCCCCGACGACCGCTCCCCTGCAGACGCTCCACATGGACGTGTGGGGCCCAGCCCGCGTCCGTGGTCAGGGTCAGGAGAGGTACTTCCTGATAGTTGTTGACGACTACTCGCGCTACACCACGGTCTTCCCCTTGCGCGCCAAGGGTGACGTCCCTGGTGCTTTGATCCCCTGGATCAGCCGAGCCCGTCTCCAGCTAGGCGAGCGCTTTCACTCGGACTTTCCTGTCCTGCGCTTGCACTCTGACAGGGGTGGTGAGTTCGCCTCCGACCTCTTGGCAGCCTACTGTGCTGAGCACGGCATTGAGCAGTCGTACACGCTTCCGGCCTCTCCACAGCAGAATGGGGTTGCTGAGCGCCGCATTGGCTTAGTCATGGAGGTCGCTCGTACCTCCCTGACCCATGCGGCTGCTCCCCACTTTCTGTGGCCGTTTGCAGTCCGGTACGCAGCGCATCAGCTCAACCTCTGGCCCCGTGTCTCCTTGCCGGAGACTTCCCCGACTCTACGGTGGACGGGAGAGGTTGGCGATGCGTCGCGTTTCCGGGTCTGGGGATCTCGAGCTTTTGTCCGCGACACGTCCGCGGACAAGCTCTCGCGTCGCGCTGTTCCCTGTGTCTTTCTTGGCTTTGTTCCCGACGCGCCTGGATGGCAGTTTTACCACGTCACCTCGCGCCGGGTTCTGGCCTCTCAGGACGTCACTTTTGACGAGTCTGTCCCCTTCTACCGCCTCTTCCCCTACCGCACTGCCCCGCTCCCCCCCCGCCTCTCTTCCTCGCTCCAGGTGCTGAGGTACCAGACCCCCTCCCCCCTCAGGGTGCCGCTCCCTCAGGTGTGTCCCAGGTAGACCCGAGTGAGCCTGTCGAGGTAGCTGTTGACTCGCGTCCTGCGTCTGGGGGTGCTGAGCCTGGGAGTGCTGCGTCTGAGGGTGCTGAGCCTGGGGGTGCTGAGCCTGGGGGTGCTGAGCCTGGAGGTGCGGAGCCTGGAGGTGCGGAGCCTGGGGGTGCTGAGCCTGGAGGTGCGGAGCCTGGAGGTACTGAGCCTGGAGGTGCGGAGCCTGGGGGTGTTGAGCCTGGAGGTGCGGAGCCTGGAGGTGCGGAGCCTGGTGGTGCTGAGTTTGGACGTGCTGAGTCTGGGGGTACTCCATCTGGAGGAGCCCTCTCCTCCCAGCAGCTGCAGGAGAGGTACCTCGAGTACTGCCGCCTCCGGAGAGGTGCTTCTGGAGCTCGTCCCGGTACTTCCCCTCCTACCCAGGAGCTCCCCCCCATTCAGGTGATCCGCGAGTGGTACACGCGGCGCTGCAGTCTTCGTAGTGGTACTCCTGGTGCTGCGGACCCGAGCGGTGGTGCTGTTGCTGGTGCTGAGGACCCGGATACTGGAGCTGCGGCTGGTGCTGAGGACCCGGGCGTTGGAGCTGCTGCTGGTGCTGAGGACCCAAGCGGTGGCGCGGCTGCTGGTGCTGAGGACCTGACCAGTGCCCCTGCTGCTGGTGCTGAGGACCCGGGCGTTGGAGCTGCTGCTCGTGCTGAGGACCCGACCGGTGGTGCTGCTGCTGGTGCTGAGGACTCGGGCGTTGGAGCTGCTGCTGGTGCTGGGGACTCGGACGTTGGGGCTGCCACTGGTGTCCCTGCTGCTTCTGGAGACGCTGCGCGGCCGCGACCGTACTTCGTACCGCTCCTTCAGCAGGTTCTTGGTCAGGCTCCTCCTCCTTGTCCTCCTTCCTCCGTCGAGTGTCCTCTGCCTGTCCAGCCGCAGTCACAGTTACCGCCTGTCTCGCCTCTCCCTGCTCCCTCCCCTTACGCTGGTCCCACAGGAGGTCTTACAGAGCGTCGTGAGCCTGAGTCTCGTCCTGCGTCGCCTGTTCGTACTGCTCGCACTGGTCGTCGTGTCCCACGTGAGCGTCCTCCTCCTGTCCCTGGCACTCACTACATGACTCTGCGTCCCTCCACTGCTCCGCAGCGTGTCCCGCTGCCGTCTCCTCCTGCGTCCTCTCTTCCTACTCTTCCTGACCCGGAGTCTGACTCCCGTCGTGCTGCCAGTCCCACTGTTACGCGTCTCCTCGCTACAGTTGTCACTGACCCGACCTTTGAGTCCTCTGCTGCGTCTGCTCTGGTCGCTGAGTTGGTTGACTTTGCTGCTCGCTGTCGCCTAGACTACGCTGCCAGCCTTGTCGCTAGGTCTGAGTCTGCGTCTGCCTGTCCTCCGTCCGTCGGGGGTGAGTGTGCCCTCGGCACGGACGTCCTTGAGGACAGACAGGAGGAGTTCCACTGCCTTACTGCTGCTTTGCCCCGTCTCGTGTCCTTGCTAGTTGCCCCTGAGGGAGACCCGGATGCACCAGACATCCCGACCCCACGCTCTTACGCTGAGGCGATAGCGGGTCCCTACTCCTCTCAGTGGCAGACAGCCATGGACGCAGAGATGGCCTCCTGGAAGTCCACAGGCACCTACGTAGACGAGGTTCCCCCTCCTGGGGCGAACATCGTCAGTGGCATGTGGATTTTCAGGGTGAAGCGGCCGCCGGGTTCTCCACCTGTCTTCAAGGCGCGCTACGTGGCTCGAGGCTTCAGTCAGCGAGAGGGAGTAGACTTCTTTCAGACCTTCTCCCCCACCCCGAAGATGACTACTCTTCGGGTGCTGCTGCACATAGCCGCTCACCGCGACTACGAGCTTCACTCTCTTGACTTCAGCACTGCTTTCTTGCAGGGCAGCCTGCACGAGGAGATCTGGCTGCGCCGCCCCCCTGGCTTCACTGGGTCATTTCCTCCTGGCACCCAGTGGAGGCTTCAGCGGCCGGTCTACGGTCTCCGCCAGGCGCCACATGAGTGGCACGACACACTGAGGACGACACTTGCGGCTCTTGGGTTCGCTCCCTCTACTGCTGACCCGTCGCTGTTTCTACGCACCGACACCTCGCTGCCGCCGTTCTACATCCTCGTGTACGTCGACGACTTGGTCTTTGCCACTGCTGACACCGCGGCACTCGCTCACGTGAAGTCGGAGCTGCAGAGGAGACACACGTGCACAGACCTGGGTGAGCTGACGAGCTATCTTGGCTTGCGGATCACCCGGGACAGAGCGCGGCGCACCATCACCCTGACTCAGTCACACATGGTGCAGCAGGTTCTCCAGCGCTTCCGCTTCACGTACTCCTCGCCTCAGTCCACTCCTCTGCCTACCGGTCACTCGCTCTCAGCTCTGCCTTCGGATGAGTCCGTAGAGCCGAGTGGCCCGTATCCAGAGCTTGTGGGCTGCCTCATGTACCTGATGACCTGCACTCGACCTGACCTTGCATACCCTCTTAGCATCCTAGCACGCTATGTCGCTCCTGGCCGTCACCGGAAGGAGCACATGGATGCTGCTAAGAGGGTGTTGCGCTACTTGTGCAGTACGTCGGGCATGGGGCTTGTGCTTGGAGGGCGAGACCGGGTTGTTCTCACAGGGCATTCAGACGCTTCTTGGGCAGACGACCAGGCTACTCAGCGGTCGTCCCAGGGTTACACCTTCAGCCTTGGCTCTGGCTCAGTTTCTTGGCGTTCTACTCGCTCTTCTTCTGTTCTCAGCTCCAGTTGTGAGGCTGAGATCTACGCCACAGCCATGGCTGCTCAGGAGCTACGCTGGCTGACCTACCTGCTGACCGACCTCGGAGAGCGGCCTCGTTCTCCTCCAGTGCTGTACGTTGACAACAAGGCTGCCATTGCCTTGTGTGAGGAGCACAGACTGGAGCACAGAACGAAGCACATCGCTCTGCGGTACTTCCTTGCTCGAGAGCTGCAGCAGCGTGGTCAGCTTTGTCTGCGTTACGTGGCCACGGAGGCCAACACTGCTGATGTGTTCACCAAGGCGCTTCAGCCTTGTGACCATCAGCGCTTTTGCACTCTACTAGGCCTTGTACCTACTGGGCCTCACTTGCTTACCTCTTGACCTTGCTTGTACTGTGATCACTATATATATATGCCTACTTGTTTACTTTTGCTAGGTTGTGATCACTGTATCTCTTGCTTTGTTATAAACCTGCATGTGAACTGGTCTTGTGACCGCTTGCTTGTGCTCGGAATTTGTGTGGAATCCTTGAGATCCACCCTGAGCTTGCTGTGCTTTGCTTTGACTGGTCTTGTGACCCTGTGGTTGTCTCCCACTGCGCCTATGGGGGTGTGTCAAACATTGCATGTTTATATTGTCTAGGCTGTAGTGGGTTACACCTTAGGGGGTACACAAAGTTAGGGTTTCCTACTTGTACCAAACTCTGTTCTAGTTCATCCATTCCTGCTCAGTTATTTCTGACAGTACCAAGAATAAGAGAGTTACTTACGCATACTGTTAGTACCAAGAGTAAGCGTGTTTCTTAACCATATGGTTGGTACCAAGAGATCGTATTTGCGTTACTTACCCATATGAAAGTTACTAAGAGTAGGGCGTTATTTACCCATATGGTTGGTACCAAGAGTAAGCACGTTACTTACCCATATGGTTGGTACCAAGAGTAAGCGCATTACTTACCCATATGGTTGGTACCAAGAATAAGCGCGTTAATTATCCATATTATTGGAACCTATAGTAAGCGCGTTATTTACCCATATGGTAAGTAATAAGTGTAAGCGCGTTACTTACCCAAACCGTTGGTACCAAGAGTACGCGCGTTAGTATTCATATGGCTGGTACCAAGAGTAAGTGCGTTACTTACCCATATGGTTGGTACCAAGAATATCTGTGCTACATACCCATATGGTTGGTACCAAGAATAGGTAACCACGTTATTTACCAATATTGTTAGTATCAGAAGTAACCATATTTCTAACCCAGATAAATGTTACTAAGTGTAAGCGCGTTACTTACCGATATTGTTGGTACCAAGAATAAGCGCGTTACTTACCCATATGGTTAGTACCATATGGTTGATACAAAGGGTAAGCATGTTACTTACCCATGTGGTTGGTACCAAGAGTAAGCGCGTTATTTACCCATATTGTTGGTACCAAGAGTAACCGAGTTCAGTACCCATATAGTTACTAATATGCATAAGCGCGTTACTTACCCATATCATTGTTACCAAGAATGAGCACGTTACTACCCGTATGGTTCGTACCAAGAGTAAGTGCGTTATTTACCCATATGGTTGGTACCAAGAGTGAACTCGTACTTACCCATATTGTTGGTACCAAGAGTAAGCGCGTTACTTACCCATATGGTTGGTACCAAGAGTAAGCGCGTTACTTACCCATATGGTTGGTACCAAGAGTAAGCGAGTTAATTATCCATACTGTTGGTACCAAGAGTAAGCGCGTTATTTACCCATATTGTTGGTACCAAGAGTAAGCGCGTTACTTACCCATATTGTTCTTTCCAAGAACAAGCGCGTTAGTTACCTATTTTGTTCGTACCAAGAGTAAGCGCGTTACAAACCCATATGGTTGTGTCAAATGTGGTAGCCTGTAATGAGGTTTGTCTTAGGGGGTACAAAAGTTAGGGTTTGTTATATGTACCCCAAACCAACATCAATGCATCATTCATTCCTCAGTTTGACATGGTATCACCTAGGTTCGGATCCTGTGGGATCCCGCTCCTCCCGACCTCGTTCGTATCGCCCGAGCCTGTCTCCCTCTCTCGTACTAGTTGCGCACGTCTTGCCCGAGCCTAGCGCCGGCCCGCTCTAGTCACGTTCCTTCGTTACCGCGTGTTACGCAGATCCACTGCTTTCGTAGCGTAGCGACCTTCCCCCCCCCCCCCCCCCCCCCCCTGCTGCCCGTCACGTTTTCCCCCCCGCTGCCCGTCGAGTTGCGTTTTTTCCCCCCGCTGCCCGTCGAGTCGCGTTTTCCTCCCGCTGCCCGTCGAATCGCGCCTTCCCCTGCCCCCGTCGCGTCGCGCTCTCCCCGCCCGTCGTCCCGTCGCCCGTCCCCCCCCTACGCGCGCCGCCGCTGCGCCTCCTCCCGTCGCCCGCCGCCGCGGCCGCAGCCTGCGCCCGCCGCCGCTGCCCGCCCCCCCCCCCGCGCACGTCGCCGCTGCACCCGCTCCTGTCACCCGCCGCTGCGCCCGCAGCCTGCGCCCGTCGCCGCTACGCCCGCCGCAGCTGCCCGCTTCCGCACACGTCGCCGCTGCGCCCGCTCCCGTCGCCCGCCGCTGCGCGCGCTGCCGCCCTCCGCTGTCGCGTCCGCCATAGCGTCCGCTCCCCCTGCCAAACGCGGCTGCTGGTCTCGCCTGCGGCCGTGCCTCTCCTTCACTAGGGTGCCTCCCTAGTTGCCATTTGCCTGCCGCTGTGCTCTGTCTCCGCTATTCCGTCAGTTTCAGCTATGGCGACTCCGCGTGTTCTTCGTTTCGACGCTGACGGTAGACCCCTTGACTTTTCACTCTGGCTTATGCGTCCTCGCCGTCAGTTAGAGAGTCAGGTCCAGTCAGGCGAGACCCTCTGGGCGCACGCTACTGGTGCCCTCCCTGCGCCCCCCGAACCTACGCCTTTAGGCCCTGCCCCTGACGACGCCGCTAGAGCCCACTTTGCTAACCAGCGCGCTGACCTGACAGCTTGGACGTCGCGTGACGCTGCGGCCTGCATCGCGCTCAGCACCCTCCTCCCTGAGTCTGAGGAAGTCTACTTTACTCAGGTTCGCACTGCTGCTGAGTACCTGACTGCGATTAAGGCCCGCTACTCCACTCCTGCTGCTGTCTCTCTTGGCCGCCTTTTCCTCCCGTTCCTATTCCCCGATCTCGCCTCATTTGAGTGCTCTGCTGACTAGATTGCTCACCTCCGCTCGCTCGACTCTAGTTACCGCGCTGCTTGCACTGCTTCCTCCTCCCATGGCGATTACTATCTATTTCATCGCCACTAGCCTCCCTGACCGCCTTGCCTCCGTTCGTGACGCGCTTCTCCCGAATCACCCTATTGAGCTCACTATTGAGGTCCTTGAGTCTGCGCTCAAGGACATCGAGAGCAACCTCCGCTCCGTAGCCGCTGCCTCTGGTGCTGTGCCCCCCCCACTCTTCCACGGGTGCACAGTCCCGCAGTTGCCCACCTTTACTGCCTCTCTCGCCACTGCCGCTACTGACGCGACCGCAGCTGCTGTTACGACTTCGTCGCGGTCCCGCGGTAGGGGTGGCAAGAGGGGCGGTGCTGGCGGCGGCGTTGGTGGAGGCGGAGGTAGTGGGGGTGGCGTTGCGACTGGCGGTGGTGGGAGTGCAGGGCCTGGAGAGACGTCTCGTGCAGCGACCGGTGACTCCACTGCGCCTGCTGGTGGTGGCGACGCCCGAGTTCGTCAGTCGCCCCCTGTACTGCCAGCCCCGGTGGGTGGAGCAGCGGCGTGGTACCGAACCCAGCGTCAGCGGCAGCTTCAGCAGCAGCAGCAGCCCCTCTCCTCCCAGCAGCCTCCGCAGCAGCAGCGGCCGCAGTAGGATTCGGGGTCGGGGCCGCGTCAGCCCCAGCGTGGTGCTGTTTACCCTCCCTGCACCTATCAGGTTCTGACAGGTGCTCGCAGGGCCACCCTTGTGGCCGCCTTCACCCCCCTGGTCAGTGCTTTGCTCAGCTTACTGACACGGTTCGTTTGGTTTACGAGATTGGCGGTCCTGCCCCTGACTGGCTTCCCCTTGTTCAGCGTTACGGCTCCACTCTGTGGGACATGTCTGCCGAGCAGTTAGCTGATCTGATTGGAACTCCTCATGCTATGTATGCTGTTGTTGACATGTGTTTCTGACTCTGTTTACTCTGGTGTTGTTAGCTTAGGTGCGATAGCCGTTGCCTGTTGCTAGTGTAGTTTCTTGTGTAGACACTAGTCCAGCGGCTACCTCGGAGGACGCTTCACTGTCTTTCACGCTGGACTCTGGAGCCTCGCACTGCTTCTTTCGTGACAGCATGACACTTACACCACTTCCTGCGCCTGTCTCTGTGGCGCTGGCTGATCCCACCTCGGGACCAGTCACTGCGCGTCACACTACCACTTTGCCGTGTCCTGCTGCTCCCTCCGGGTTTCACGTCCCCTCGTTCTCCCGGAACTTGGTGGGCGTGCGACCCCTCGTGAGTAGGCACGTGGGTGTGTGGTTTGAGCCTTCTAGGGAGACTGCGGTGTGTGTTGACGGGGACTCTTACCAGCCTCTGGCCACCTTTGCTGCTGAGCCGGGCTCCGGTCTCTACACTCTTCACACTGGCCCGCGTGCACGGCAGCGGCCGCAGCAGCAGCAGCAGCCGCAGCAGCCGCCGCCGCAGCAGCAGCAGCCCCTACTCCCTGCCCCTGTCCCTCCCCCTCGTCTCGTCCCTGCGTCTCACCAGGTGGCTACGTCCCCTCGGGTAGTCGTGTCCAGTCCAGTCGCTGCGTCTTGCTCCTGCAGGTCGCTTGCCCACCCCACCGTTCTGTGGCACCACCGGATGGGGCACCCTTCTCTTCCCCGTCTGCGCGCTATGTCTAGTCAGCGTCTGGTCTTAGGTCTCCCGCGTGTCTTGCCGTCGCTGCCGCCGTCCCTTGCACCACCGTGCGGTCCTTGCGTCGAGGGTCGGCTGCGCGCCACCCCTCACTCCTCCTCCCTTCGTCCGGCCACCGAGCCTTTTGAGACACTCCACTTGGACGTTCGGGGCCCCTCCCCTCGCTCTGGTCCTGAGCGTGAGCATTTCTTTTTTGTGGTCGTTGACGACTACTCCCGCTACACTGTTGGTGTAAGGGCCTAATAAACTCAAGCTATTAGGACTTAATCAAACTTAAAACCTCTCCTCGGGGTCACCTCCAAGGGTCCCTGGGTGCCTGGTACAAGACCAGCCCCTATCCTCGGGTCCGAGTTTGTAGAGAGAGGGATCAAGAAGGACTTAGTCAAAACAGCAAGAGCACCTTGAACGTCGCGCAGCGTGCCGTGCAGACCGTCGGTCGGATTAAGCTGAGAATTCGCTATATCGAAGCTCGCTCCAAGAGCTTTAAAATGAGCCAAGTTGCCTCGCGAAAAGTTCTGCCATTACTAAGTTATGGCTCGGACAGCGTTTGCCTAGCGTTGGAGTGCTAGCATACTAGCGTTGACTCGGGTAGCATTCCGCCAACGAACCGCGTAGAAACGAAATTCCAGCGAGGAAGGAATTCGCTTGAATCAATTTGACTATATCCAGGTACAAACAGAGAAGGATTAAATAGTTCTAGCTAGCAAGGACCTTGGGAATCAACCTGGGAACAACCAGGGATGATCCCAAATAATTCCAAGCAACAGAACCAACCTGGCTGGACAAAATAGCAGGTGGTAGGTTGGTAAACAACCTCTGGTTCTGTTTTTCCAACCTGGGAAAACAACAACCAGGTTCAGGTTCTAAAAACAGAACCTGTTTTGTCTTTGCCCAACCAGCCAAATGCTGGTTCCGCTGGTTTCCCCTGGCCTTGTAGCATGCAGATACAGACAAACAACATCCAACCTTCACCTAAATTGTACCCCTATAGTGCCTTCCCTGCTACACTATAGTTAACCAAACAAAACAGTACAATTCCGAGTTGGATAGAACTGAATCTGCGCAATCAACTCAACCGAACTGCAAAGCTTCCATCTTGGGTTCCTTTGCGAGCTCGTCCTTTCTGCTTGCACTGTTCATAGCGCATACAATGTTGTGCCGAAGCGCACATTGCGCGAGTACCTGCAAATGCATCAAGCGAAAAATGCGAAAGCAAACAAACACACGAACACACCATTCACACGCAAATGCATTCGCACACGCATACTCGTACAAACAGACGGCAGGATGTCGTGCAATGTGCATTTGCACCCAACATACACCACAGTGTTCCCCCTGGCGAAGAAGTCTGAGGTGACTTCTACGCTCATCAGGTGGTTGCTTACCACGCAAGACACTCGTGGTCGTCGTGTCAGTTGTCTTCACTCCGACCGCGGGGGTGAGTTTCGCTCCGGCGTTCTCGCTGGATTCTGTCGCGAGCAGGGCATTCGTCAGTCCTGGACGCTTCCAGAGTCCCCACAGCAGAATGGGGTTGCTGAGCGCCGCATTGGCTTGGTCATGGAGATCGCCCGCACCTCCCTGACTCACGCCCGTGCCCCCCATTTTCTGTGGCCTTATGTGGTTCGGTACGCCGTGCACCCGCTAAACCTCTGGCCATGCGTCTCTCGGCCAAAGGCTTCGCCGACCAGTCTTTGGACCGGGTCCCCTGGTGTTGCGTCGCGGTTTCGTGTCTGGGGTTGCTTGGCTCTTGTCCGCGACACCTCTGCGGACAAGCTCTCGCCTCGCGCCGTTCCTTGTGTCTTCCTTGGTTTCCCTGAGGACTCCTCTGACTTCACCTTTTACCACCCTCCCTCTCACCGGTTCTTTGACTCCCGTGACGTCCGTTTCGAGGAGTCCACCCCCTACTACGTCAGGTACCCCAGTCGAGGTCTCCCGGTTCCTCCTCCCCCTCTCTTCCTGACTGCCGCTCCCCCTCCTGCTCCCCCGGTACAGCCTCCCCCCCCTGGTCCAGCCCCGTCAGGTGTGTCCCAGGCTACCCCTCCTCCTTCGGTAGCCCCTCCGGTACAGCCTCCCTCCCCACAGTCCTCCTCGCAGCGTGCTGCAGGTGCTAGCTCTCGAGAGGTCGGAGTTGAGCCGGTGGGTGCAGAGGACTCTTGTCTTCCGGGAGCTGGTGCTGGTCGCGCGGACACTGGGGGTGCTCCGTCTGGGGGTAAGGATGCGCCTCCTTTGGGTTCTGGTGAGCCTGAGTCTGGAGCTGGTGTTGGTGCTGCCTCTGGGGGTGGTGCGCCTGGTGCTTCGGAGGTGGACTCTGGGGCTGCCGCTGCCCCGGACACTACTCCGCCCCCCCACCCCTACCCGACTAGGCACCAGGCTCGTGTTCGCCGTGCCCGTGAGGAGCAGCTGGCGTTGGAGAGAGAGGAGAGGGAGTTACAGCGGCTGGAGGAGCAGCAGCAGCAGCTGGAGCCGCAGGAGCAGCAGCACCAGCAGCAGCAGCAGCAGCACCAGCAGCAGCAGCAGCACCAACAGCAGCAGCAGCAGCTGGAGCCGCAGGAGCAGCAGTCACACCAGCAGCAGTATCCGCAGCAGCAGCAGCACCAGCCGCAGCAGCAGCAGCAGCAGCAGCAGCCACCTCCTCCTCCTGTCTCGGGTCTTCGGACCCTTGGTCTCCCCTCTCGCTCTCCTCCCTCCTCCCCCTCTCCTCCCGTCTACGGTCCCACGTTTCCTCCTCCTGACTCCTCCCCCGCTGTTTTCCCCAGTTCTCCGCCTTTGTCGTCTCCTCCGTCCCGTACTTGGGCTACTCGTCGCTCTCCTCGTGCTTGTTCCTCATCCCCTGTTCCTTTCACTAACCTTCATACTGCCTTGTTGCGTTCTAGTCCGCCTCGTTCGGCTCCTCCTGTGCTTCCTTCTCCTCCTGAGTCGGCCCTCACAGCTTCTCTCTCTACCCCTGTCACTGACTACTACCGCACGTACCGTCCTGTTCTCTCACTTGTTCTCGCCTCTCTTGTTACCCACCCTCGTGCCTCTTTGTCCTCTGTCTCCGCTCTTACTGCCGCGGTCACTGAGTTTGCCTCTACTCGCCGCCTTGACTACGCCACCACTCTTGTGGCTGCTCCTCCTACCAGTCCTCTGGCCGTCGGGGGTGTGTCTGCCCTTGGCTGTGACGTTTTTGAGGACAGGCAGTTTGAGCTAGAGTTCCTGGCAGCCGCTTCCCCTCATCTCTGTGCCATGCTCCTCGCCCCTGAGGGTGACCCCGACGCCCTTGACATTCCGACTCCTCGCACTTACGCTGAGGCAGTGTCAGGGCCTTGGGCCTCTCAGTGGAGAGCTGCCATGGACGCAGAGATGGCCTCCTACAGATCCACAGGCACCTACGTCGATGAGGTTCCTCCCCCTGGGACGAACGTAGTCGATGGCATGTGGATCTACAGGGTGAAGCGGCCACCGGGATCTCCTCCAGTCTTCAAGGCACGCTACGTGGCTAGAGGTTTCAGTCAGCGAGAGGGAGTTGACTTCTTTCAGACCTTCGTGCCTACCCCGAAGATGACCACTCTTCGGGTGTTACTGCACGTAGCAGCACAGAGAGACTACGAGTTACACTCTCTCGACTTCTCCACTGCTTTTCTTCAGGGCAGCCTACACGAGGAGGTCTGGCTGCGTCGTCCCTCTGCCTTCACTGGCACTTTCCCTCCTGGGACCCAGTGGAGGCTGAGGCGACCTGTTTACGGTCTTCGCCAGGCCCCTCGTGAGTGGCACGACACTCTCCGCTCTACCCTCTCTGACTTGGGTGTCTTCTGCCGACCCGTCGCTGTTCGTTCGCCGTGGCTCCACACCGTTCTTCGTTCTAGTCTATGTCGACGACCTCGTTTTCGCCACTGCTGACAGGGTTGCTTTGGCAGACGTGAAGTCCGAACTGCAGAAGAGACACACGTGCACTGACCTTGGTGAGCTGCGCCATTACCTTGGGCTGCAGATCACCAGGGACAGAGCTGCTCGCACCATTATACTCTCACAGTCACACATGGTGCAGCAGGTCCTTCAGCGGTTCGGGCTTCAGCACTCCACAGTACAGCGCACACCTCTTGTTGTTGACCACAGACTCACTGGACCCTTTCCTGACGAGCCGTTTGAGCCTAGTGGTCCCTACGCAGAGCTTGTGGGTTGCCTCATGTACCTGATGACTTGTACTCGCCCGGACCTCGCTTTCCCTCTCAGCATCCTTGCACGCTTTGTTGCGCCAGGGAGACACCGTCCTGTTTACTGGACAGCAGCTGTGAGGGTGGCGAAGTACCTAGCGACGACATCAGGCGTGGGGCTAGTTCTTGGAGGGCAGCAGCCTGTCGTACTTACTGGTCACTGTGACTCTTCTTACGCTGACGACGCTGAGACTCACAGGTCTACTCAAGGGTACTGTTTCAGCCTGGGTTCTGGAGCTGTTTCCTGGCGGTCCACGCGCTCCTCTTCGGTCTCGACCTCTACAGCTGAGGCTGAGATCTACGCTGGTGCCATGGCGGCACAGGAGCTGCGTTGGTTGACGTTCTTGCTCGCCGACCTTGGTGAGCGGCCGAGCTCTGCACCGACCTTGTTTACTGACAACAAGGCATCGATTCTCCTTTGTCAAGAGCCGCGACTGGAGAGCAGAGTGAAGCACATTAACGTCAGGTACTTCCTTCTGCGAGAGTTGCAGAGACGTGGACAGGCTCGCTTCGAGTTTGTGGAGTCCGAGGCCAATACTGCAGACATCTTCACCAAGGCGCTTCCGCCTTGTGACCACCACAGGTGCTGTGTGCAGTTAGGCCTTGTTGACACTGGTTCTCGTCTTACTTAGTCTTGAGTTCACTGTTTGCTTTGCTTGTACACTTTCTATATATCTCTGTTATTGCTTGGACTGGCCTTGTGGCCACTGTTGCTTGTGCTCAGAGTGTGTGGTGACGTTGTGATCCACCCTGAGCTTTGTTTCTTTGTGACTGGTCTTATGACCGTACTCTTTTGGTTTTGCTAGACACCCCTCACTTAGGCTATGGGGGTGTGTCAAATGTGGTAGCCTATAGTGAGGTTTGTCTTAGGGGGTACAAAAGTTAGGGTTTGTTATATGTACCCCAAACCAACATCAATGCATCATTCATTCCTCAGTTTAACAGGTTGGTACCAAGAGTAAGCGTGTTACTTGCACATATTGTTGGTACCAAGAATAAGCGCGTTACTTACCCATATGGTTGTTAGTTCCAGGAGTAAGCGTATTCTTACTCATATGGCTGGTATCAAGAGTATGTGCATTAGGACTTAATAAACTCAAGCTATTGGTGTGAAGAGTATGTGTTGGTGTAAGGGCCTAATAAACTCAAGCTATTAGGACTTAATCAAACTTAAAACCTCTCCTCGGGGTCACCTTCAAGGGTCCCTGGGTGCCTGGTACAAGACCAGCCCCTATCCTCGGGTCCGAGTTTGTAGAGAGAGGGATCAAGAAGGACTTAGTCAAAACAGCAAGAGTACCTTGAACGTCGCGCAGCGTGCCGTGCAGACCGTCGGTCGGATTAAGCTGAGAATTCGCTATATCGAAGCTCGCTCCAAGAGCTTTAAAATGAGCCAAGTTGCCTCGCGAAAAGTTCTGCCATTACTAAGTTATGGCTCGGACAGCGTTTGCCTAGCGTTGGAGTGCTAGCATACTAGCGTTGACTCGGGTAGCATTCCGCCGTCGAATAGCGCAGAAACGAAATTCCAGCGAGGAAGGAATTCGCTTGAATCAATTTGACTATATTCAGGTACAAACAGAGAAGGACTAAATAGTTCTAGCTAGCAAGGACCTTGGGAATCAACCTGGGAACAACCAGGGATGATCCCAAATAATTCCAAGCAACAGAACCAACCTGGCTGGACAAAATAGCAGGTGGTAGGTTGGTAAACAACCTCTGGTTCTGTTTTTCCAACCTGGGAAAACAACAACCAGGTTCAGGTTCTAAAAACAGAACCTGTTTTGTCTTTGCCCAACCAGCCAAATGCTGGTTCCGCTGGTTTCCCCTGGCCTTGTAGCATGCAGATACAGACAAACAACATCCAACCTTCACCTAAATTGTACCCCTATAGTGCCTTCCCTGCTACACTATAGTTAACCAAACAAAACAGTACAATTTCGAGTTGGATAGACCTGAATCTGCGCAATCAACTCAACCGAACTGCAAAGCTTCCATCTTGGGTTCCTTTGCGAGCTCGTCCTTTCTGCTTGCACTGTTCATAGCGCGTACAATGTTGTGCCGAAGCGCACATTGCGCGAGTACCTGCAAATGCATCAAGCGAAAAATGCGAAAGCAAACAAACACACGAACACACCATTCACACGCAAATGCATTCGCACACGCATACTCGTACAAACAGACGGCAGGATGTCGTGCAATGTGCATTTGCACCCAACACACTCCCCCTCAGCCTGCCGGCTGCATCCCCGTCATTCCATGCTAGTTCATGCTCATTCCACTCATGCTCACACAACGCCAATGAGGCTCATCCGCAAGCCTCTTGGTGAGAAAGTCTGCTGGCTGCTGGTGAGTCTTGATGTAGATCGGATGCACCGTCCCCCTCTTCACCTCCTTACGCAGCCAGTGCCACTTGATACGCATGTGCTTGTTCAGCCCATGAAGCACAGCGTTTCTGGCCATCCCAAGAGCCCCCTTGCTATCACAAAACAGCAGCGTAGCAACTTTCTGCTCCTGGCCAATCTCCTCTAACAGCCTCCTCAGCCAAATCACCTCTTTCACCCCATGGAACATCGCCATGTACTCTGATTCTACGGAAGAGAGTGCCGTCTCCGTCTGCTTCTTGGACCTCCAACTAACAGGTCCTCCCCCAACTACGCAGATGTATCCTCCCACAGATGAGGAATCCTCCTTCTCAGAAGCCCACGTAGCATCGGTAAAGCAAGTGAGAAATAGCTTGCCTTCTCCAAGCCTCTCCCCCTTCTCTTTCAGCACCTCCACCCCTTTCTGCTTCACCTGTGCAGATGCGGAGTATTGAACTCCAATGCTTGGGTGAGAGTTCAGGTACTTCACCACACGCTCAGCTGCATCCACCTGCTCCTCTGATGGATTCTGCACCACCCTAGCCAGCTGCCCAACCGAGAAAGAGATGTCGGGCCTCGTGTGAACTGCTGCGTACAAGAGGCTGCCCACCAAGGACTGAAATTGCTGCTGCTCTTCAGCTTCAACCCCTTCATCCTCTGCAGCCTTCACAAGCTTGAATTCTGCTGGCAGGGGAGTTGCAACCTTGCGCTCATTCTCAATCCCATACTTCTCCCCCAGCTCCTTGATGAACTTCTCCTGGTGCAGCTTCAACCACCTGTGATCTGGATCCCTCTCCACGTGCATCCCGAGGTAGTACTTTACCTCCCCAAGGTTCTTGCACTTGAAGTTTTCCATCAGTTGCTGCTGCACTTTCTGGATCTCCTTCATGCTGCTGCTGAAGAGAAGAATGTCGTCCACATAGACCAGAAACAGCACCAGCTTCTCCCCCTCGCCCTTGAGAAAGAGGCTCTCATCACAGCTGCTGGTCCTGAATCCCATCTCCTCTAAAACAGCTGCCAACTTCTGGTACCAGCAGCGTGGCGCCTGCTTCAAGCCGTAAATGGACTTGTTGAGCTTGCACACCCTGCCCGTACCATCCTCATACCCAGGCGGCTGCGTCATGTACACATCCTCCTCTAAAATCCCATTCAGGAATGCCGTTGAAATATCCATCTGAATGA